GCACTGGAATAGCAATTAATGTAATTAAAGAAAGCCATTTTCCTCATGAATGCACATGTCTACATGTGTGCCATAACACTTGTGTAAAAGTAAAGCTTAAAGGGATAGTTCACTCAAAATTTTAAATTCTAATAATTCTCCTTTTGTATTCAGTAGAAATGTTTGGAACGACATGAGGGTGAGTAAATGATGATAAAACATTAACTTCACCACTGATGTTATCTGCAGAATTTGGCAAAATATACAATTAAATTCCAAATGTATTAGGATTTTAAATGAGTATAGTTTGCTTTTAGGGATAAATCCAGACGTCATTTACTAGACCACTGGAACCTCGAATAAAAGAATGTCCTTGAAACGTATTATACAAACTCTTCATCTAAAGGGCCAAAAATTGGAGTGAAACCCATTATTATCTGTTTACAAGCACTGTCTAAATGAATTGAATTTCAAGGACGCAATACAACTCCATGTCTGATGAGATGAGAAAAAATAGATGCAATGTCCCTTAATATTATTCACAAGGTGAGGATGAATGTTACCCTGCATAACAGGATTCAGCTGAGATTAATCCAAACAGACAGGGATGATGGAGGGACAGAAAAGGAGGACAAAAACCTTATTGGCTTCAGTGAACAGTGTAACACGAGTACGGCACTCTATTAAATATCTTCATAATGGACAAGAGACAGAGGCGCGCTCGCTAAGGTCAATTCATTATTCAAGTGTGGAGGGTGTCTGTGCTTCCAGCCGTTTTTTGGGGCTTGAGCGCTAAACCAGAGATGACAAGCTACAGCGCTGAGAAAAGGTCAAGTAGGCAACTTTTGCATGTTAACAGTTTAATGTCAGCTTGAAGAAGCTGAAACATCAGCAGGAAATTAGCATATGAAATTAGAATTGGTCAACGCCGCATCCAGAGAAGCTGACTGTGTGAGATAACTGCAAATTGGGAAAATAGTGGTACTGCAAGTCATCTGTTCGCCACAACGCTGCTCCTGTGTGGGTATCTCTTTATGTAAATAAGATTGAGAAGTACTGCCGTTTTAAAAGTGTCTATCTGCTAAAGGGACATTTTGTCAACACACATATGTACATATATCACATTTACATCCACTATCGGTCAAAAGTTTGGGATCATTAGGATTTTTTTTTTATGTTTTTGAAAGAAGTGCTCAATGCTGCATTTATTAGATTAAAAATACAGCAATACTGTTAAATATCATTACTATCTGTTTATATTTGAATATATTTTAAAATGTATCTCATTCCTAAAATTTCAGCATCATTACTCCGGTCTTCTATGGAAGCTTGTTTCCGCCACTGAATAAAAAAATATAATAAATAATTGTGACTTTTTATCTCACAATTCTGACTTTTTTTCTCACAATTGCGAGTTTATATCTCACAATTCTGACTTTATTTCTCAGAATTGCGTGATATAAAGTCGCAATTGCGAGTTGTAAAGTCAGAATTGTGTGTTATAAAGTCAGAATTGCGAGATATAAAGTCAGAATTGCGTGATATAAAGTCGCAATTCTGAGAAAAAAAGACAGAAGTGTGACTTTTTTTCTCACAATTGCGAGTTTACATCTCGCAATTCTGACTTTATAACACATAATTGCGAGTTTATATGTCGAAATTCTGACATCTTTTCTCAGAATTGTGAGATATAAACTCGCAATTGCGACTTATTAGGCCAATTCTAAGGGGAAAAAAAGACGAACTTTTTCCCCCCCTCAGAATAGTTTAAATCTCACAATTCTGACTTTATATCTCGCAATTCTGACTTTATAACTCGCAATTCTGACTTTATATCTTGCAATTCTGACTTTATAACTCGCAATTCTGACTTCATATCACGCAATTCTGACTTTATAACTCGCAATTCTGACTTCATATCTCGCAATTCTGACTTTATATCTCGCAATTCTGACTTTATATCTCGCAATTCTGACTTTATATCACGCAATTCTGACTTTATAACTCGCAATTGCGACTTTATATCACGCAATTCGGACTTTTTATCTCGCAATTGTGAGAAAAAAAGTCAGAATTGTGAGATAAAAAGTCGCAATTATTTACTTTATTTTTTTATTCAGTGGCGGAAACAAGCTTCCATAGTCTTCAGTGTTACATTATCCTCCAGAAATCATTCTAAAATGCTGATTTGGTGCTCATTTGCTTCCTGCTTTCGGTCGAAGCCCACAGTAGTCGATTGTCGATCTCACGCGTGCGATCATCAGTGAATATCAGCTCAAACCTCCTCCATATGTTCAACATCTGATTCGGATGAACTATCCATTTGAGATGATATTCTCAAAACACCACATAGTGGTAGGTTTGAGATGATATTCACTAATGATCGCAGGCGTGAAATCGTCAATCGGCTACTGTGGGCTTCGACCGAAAACACGAAGCAAATAGAGGTATGTGAGCTGGATGAATTAACATCATTTTATTCATATCTTTCACATCTACTGCAGTCAGATTGACCATAGTCACTCCTAATAACAGCACTCACATGGCTGTGCACTCGTAAGGACAAATCAAGGATGTTAAGAGGCTAAAAGCAGGTTTAGAACATGTCCCATTGAAGTCGACAGCTAGGGTGCGAATTTTAAAAAGACGATAACACGGTGTAGGCTGATTTTTGACATTTTTGTCTGTACTGGCAGCACTCCAAATTAGGGATGCACCGAATATTCGGCCGCCGAAAATTTTCGGCCGAAAATGGCCCAAAAGTGCATTTTCGGTTTTTGGCCGAAAGACTTTTATCACCGAAACATTACGGCCGAAATGTTGTGATAACGCAAACAGAAACCGCGACCTGCACGTGCTTGTCTGAAGCAACATGTCTGTGGTGTGGGCGTATTTCAGTGTATCTGAACCCGCGATGAGACGGAAACCTTGTTTATCGACCTATATCTGCTCTAAACAATGCGCGCCGCCATGACGACGACTCCGGTTGCGAGCGGGTCAAGAGCGGTGCGCGCGCTGTCTGTGGAGACTCGCGCTGCGGAGGCAGGCGAAAGTATAAACAAGGCAGCGCGAGTCTCCACAAACAGCACGTGCACCGCTCCAAACGGTCGAGGCGTTTATACTTGACGCGCTCTCCGTTGTACTATTCCTTGAAACGACAGGGGACGACTCAAGTAACTGTCCTCTAACCATCAGGAATCGGTGAGAAGAAGACAGATAAATACATGACAATGTTTATTTTTTAGTATTCCACCACCAATACAAAAATAATCATGTAAAACCCAGTAAACCCTGAGATTATTACTTGTGACATTACAAAAAAATATGTATATGGGAACATGTATATGTATAGAACTAAATTAATGCTCTCTTAAATATTTTCTACATTCACTAAACATGTTTCATTAAGTTTCGTGTACATTTGTATTAAACATGGACCATTGTTCATTTAAAAAGGCTTTTTATGCTATTGTATGCTACATTTTTAAAATGTAACTAATTTAGACGTGCAAACTGGGTGCTAATGTGATGAGAAGTTTGCGCTCGGCTTTGTTTTTGAGAGAACGTTTCATTTTAAAACCTTTCTGCAGGCCAGTAGATTATTATTTAGTGTACACATGAGTGGGGTCAAGTTAAACATTTTAGTTTGAATTTTATTTTATACTGTGCATTGTGCTAAATAAATATTTGCATAATTTGTAATTGATTTATTCTTTGAAAATGTTATATTAATTTATGCAATTGCAATGCCTTGATTTTAGTAAAGTTTGTACACATTCATAGCCATAAATGCAATGGTACTAATAATTGGCATAATTTCTTTCGGTGTTTCGGTTTTCGGTTTTCGGCCTTGGTTTCCTCTTTTTCGGTTTTCAGTTTCGGCCAAGAATTTTCATTTCGGTGCATCCCTACTCCAAATGTACAAAAAAGGAGCTCAATGTTAAAATTGACCAGAGTTCGCCTTTAAGCAGCAAAAACTGCTTCCAACATTGATAATAAAAAGACATATACCAAATCAGCATATTAGAATGACCGTTATTTTTAAACAAATAAATAATATTGAGAATCAGAGAAAACGATTTAAAATATTTCGTTTTAATCTTCAGAATGAACCAATTTGCTAAAAATGAATTCCAAACAATGCATTAGAGATAAGCCCTGTGTCAAATGGCACACTTGATGCAGACTTTTGGTCTCATGGCCTTCGCTCAAGCGTGTCCATGAGGTCCACAAGCCTGTAGGGTATCCCATTTATCATTTTGTGATTCAGTAGGGTGCTCATGAGCGGTCCCCTTTACAACCTCTATGATGCCAAGCCAAACCTGCACTCAAATAAACTACTACCCAACAGTGATGAAGAGGATTCTAGAAAAGAGTGATTGATTATTGCTCTACTTGCATGGTTTTAAGGCTGCATGCAATAAATAATGTGACACAGAAAACATGTTCAAGTTAAATTGTAAAAAAAAAGGTTTAAAAACACTATTTTGAGAACATTAGAGTCGCGCTGGCACAGTCACACTAATAACATTTTTCATTTACTTGTATCAATACTTTTAATTTGATCAAATAAAATGACTGCAAAATGCACAGTATCAGTGGCAAACGTAAGAATGTCTCTGATTTTAAAGGAGCGATCTGTCTTCTCTTTTAAAGATTATTTATAAACCCGGAGCTGTGTGCAAGAGTACACACCTAAAGGTTTACTCTCGAGGTGTTTGTCTCTTGCTGTTTATTTTTCCTCTTTTTCTCAGTCTTTAAGCTCTGTCTCTAACCAAGCAACAAAAAGGGTTGTTTGCTCAGACAAAACACAGACTGTAGCTGCTTTCCAAAACAGGTTAGTCATATTTTATCTTGGGATGTCGCGCTGTGTTTATTATTAACATATCATTCTATGAACACTTTCTTTACAAAATCCTTTATGTCTGGAGCAACAGGAGAAACTGGTAAACATTTAACAGCTGCTTTCATTTCAGACTAAACAAAGCGATAAACAAAATCACAGAGGGATGTGTCCTTACCGCTGTCACTGTTGTCATCCACCAGTATGATTTCTTTGAGCAGGTGTGCCGGGGTGTGGTTGACCACGCTGTGAACAGAACGCAGGATGACAGATAGAGCTTCGTTCACAAAGATGAAGACCACGGAGATCTGGGGAAGGTCATCGGGGTAGGTCAACTGCTTACACCTGGAGAAAACAGACATCAGTGTATTCAGTTTGCAGGTTATATATTATGTGAGGGCATTTAACATTTTATTTTTATTTTTATGGACAATTCACAATTTACCATATTTAATATCGTAAAACATTTACAATGGGAGTAGGATACTTTATTGTTGTTGTAAGGTACAACAAAATTTAGAGCGGCAATTTTCTAGAAGCAAGAATATATATATATATATATATATATATATATATATATGAAGAGTTCAGATGCAAAAGCCTCTAAATGCCATTTGAAATTTTCTTCTTTAATGATGATTTTTATCAAACTTGTATATTTAAGTTTAGTAATTTCACTTAAATAACAATTAATAGGTAATTATCATTGCCATTTAAATGAAATTACTGAACTTAAATATACAAGTTTGATAAAAATCATCATTAAAGAAGAAAATTTCAAATGGCATTTAGAGGCTTTTGCATCTGAACTCTTCATAAATATTTATGTATTTACTACCCATTAAACATACACATTTATATATATATATATATATATATATATATATATATATATATGTAAATGTAATATATATCACTTAATTGAAAAAAATAAATAAATAAAAAGATTTATTGTTTACAATTCATCAGAACATATGATATGGCTTTAAATATGATATGGCTTTATCCAATGGTTCTGATTTCTTAGAGAGCAGGGTGGCCGACATATTTATAATATATATTCATACTTTATATTTATTTTACTTAATATTTAATAAATCAACCATAAGTTCACAGTGAAATCCCTTCCTCTCTCCATCCTGAGACATGGGATCCTGCCTGTGTTGACTTTGCTCTCAGCTTTTTTAATATGGCTGAGGATTACGGAGCTCATGAATAGGTTATATTTCATACAATAAGATTACAGAGTCTAGGTTTTGGCATTTAGCAGATTAGAATTCTCTGGGCAATCAAATTATTGAAGAATACCAAAGTTGTTTGCTCACAAAAAGGTATAGTGAACAAAAATTGTATTGGAAGATGAACTGAGCATCGGTAATGTATATATTATTCTAAAATGTGCAGACACACACGAACAGCACTGTTTATTTAATTTGTATCTTCATTTGTATCTTTGTTCTTATTTTATTACTGACTTGTCTTTAATCATGTTCTAAATTTCCTTTAATTATTCAAGTAGTTTTTGCTGTATATAGAGAATTGTGACATTTCACAGTTATCTAAACATTTGAACCACTGGCCCTGCCAGCCCAGTAGATGAGAAAATCCTCAGCATTGAAACCTGCTGAAGCAGCTCCAAATATGTGCTGTGCTATTAAATGAAAGATCAAATATGATAGAGCAATAGAATGAACAGTGAAAGTAACAGACGCTTGTACAATACATTTTAACAGGCATATTAAGCATGAAAACAACTGAAGCAAATATATATTTGATAAATTAAATCAATGAATATGATTCACATTCTAGTGCTGTACATGCTGCCATTAGGAGATATCATTAGGAAACATTAGAAATCAGCTTTCACTGTCATGCCGATGATACTCAGCTTTATATTTCTTCAAAATCTAACGAAACTTACCAATTCACAAAATTAACGGAATGCATAGCTGATATAAAAAAAATTGGATGACTAGTAATTTCCTACTACTAAATTCTGAAGAAAAAAACCCCTGAGATTCTGATCATTGGACAAAAACGTCCACACGTAACAGCCTAGAATACTGTCTAACACTTGATGGCTGCTCTGTCTTCGTCCTCGGTAAGGAACCTGGGTGTGCTCTTTGATGCCAATCTTTCATTTGAAAGTTACGTGTCTAGTCTCTGTAAAACCTAATTTTTCCATTTTAAAAAGATATCTAAATTACGCCATATGCTCTCATTGACAAATGCGGAACTTTTAAGATATGCCACACTAAGAATTACTCAAAACAGAAAAAATACTAACCCCCCTTAAATACAAGGATAATGTTCCTTGATCCCCCTTCTGCCAGTCGATAATATTTAATGGCTCTGCCCCCCTCAGTGAAAATCCCCTCACCCAATCTGGAGCAACAGCTTTCCCTGTGTGAATTTACACACTTTTGCACCCACACACTCACACGTGTGAAAGAGCCACGTAGTCAGTAATGGTGATTTTCAGTCTGAAATGATGCAACACTAAGAGTAGGTTTAATCCAAAGATATCCAAAAACACAATTCACATTAGGTGTTAAAAAATCTCAAATTCCCACTCTAAACAAACAACAATACAAATAGACTAAGCCATGGGTTATTGTAGTTATAGTCAGCAAGAAACGGAAGTTGTAAAAGTCTTTTCTTCCCCATCTTGACATATATCTGAGTGAAATGGTTTCTCAAACTAATAATAAAGGGGGTCTTGGTTTTGTCCATTGGGCTTGACTGGATGGTTGTGGTTTGCTATTGCTGTGATGACATGTGAGTAAAACGTTGTCACGTCCCTAATGATGTGCCCCGATAAATAATTTTTTTTAAATATTCCATAAAAATAAGTGGCTTTGACAAAAACAAAAACGTTAATAAAAAATAAAAAAACCCATCTGTGTTACTTGAAATAAAATAAAAAAAAGTATTGTTTTCATTTAGTTATAAATTTAGTTAACACTAAACTGAAATAAAAAAAAACTGTTTTGTTAGTTATTAGACAAAAAAGACTAAAAAAAGATAATTATTGAATCTCATTGATACTAAAACAACACTTTTATTTACTTTTTTACACTTTTATCAAAATCTCAAAAAAAGTCAAATGATCAATTCTTGGACTGCATGACTATGGAATATTTCCTATATTAGCTAGACTGTACTAAACCGAACATGCAGCTATGGCTAACATCCAGTGCATAAAATACAAAATATTATAATAGTTTCAACAGTGACAGGTGTGCAGATATCATTCAAAGATATTTACAACAGTCCTCCATGTAGTTTTGCAGTCATGGCAGCATAAGAAAGGTTTGATTGATCAGGCCATTAAAGTATTTTTTTCTCCTTCACAGCAGGTTACTGTTATTCCAATCCCTTTTTTCCCCTCAATTGCTCATGCAAAGCACTGTGAATGCAAAACTGAAGTCACCAGACATATTTTTCCACAAAATGTGCATGAATACATCAAATAAATCCAAGTAAATCCTTCTACATGTTATCTCAAAGAAAGGCATCGCTGCGTTCAGGTGAAATAGCAATTGTGCCAAAACAACAGTGCAATGTCACATCAACGCTTGAAAAACAAGCCTATTTTTAATCATTTGCAATCTTTGATTGAGTACAAATATTAATAATATAGATATATCAGATATGTCCTGTATACAGTCAAGGACATCTCTTTCATATCCTATATATATATATATGAAGAGTTCAGATGCAAAAGCCTCTGCCATTTGAAATTTTCTTCTAGAATGATCATGTTTATCAAGCTTGTATATTTAAGTTCAGTGATTTCACTTAAATGGCAATGATGATTACCTATTAATTGTTATTTAAGTGAAATTACTGAACTTAAATATACAAGTTTGATAAAAATCATCATTCAAGAAGAAAATTTCAAATGGCATTTAGAGGCTTTTGCATCTGAACTCTTCATATATATATATATATATATATATATATAAAATCTTTACACAAACACATACACTGTAAAAATATTGTTGGTTTAATTAAAAAAATTAGGTAATCTGGTTGCCTTAAAATTTTAAGTTCATTGAAATGGAAAAATTGAGTTAATACAATGAAATAAATTGATTTAATCATTAGAAACTCAAAATGTTATGTTTTCTGAACCACATAAATTATTTAAGTTGATTTGACAAAAGAAAAAATGTTGTGATTACAAATCATGAACATGTTTTTTTTTACAGTATATATATAGGCTATGTATAATATTGATTAGACTTTCATTATATTGTTTTTATGCACTGGCTGTTTGCCATAGCTCACTTTATGAACTTTATGTATTTTCACTATATATATCTAATATATTGTTTTATTGACTCATTAAACCAAAATAATCTGTACGCGCATTTCAAATGACACAGATGCTTTTGGGCTACACTATGTAGTGTATTCATTTAGCTTCACGACCATAAGTAATGTTACACTTTCATTGCTCTAGTTACTACCTGCAATCTAGGCCATTGCTCAAGTCTGAATTTGTACCGCTGGACAGGGCCAGGCAGCTGTGGGCTGTAACAAGATGAGAGATGGACTCATCCGTGTGAAATAGAGCCTAAGCTGGCTGTCCAGTTATCATAATTTGACCTGGAACAAAGCATGACAGAAACAGACACCTAGATTAAGATGTATTCCCATCTCTCACTCTCTTTTCTCACTGCCTCTCCCTGAATCATTTCTCTCCATAAGACTTCACATTAACCTCTAACATTTCCTTCCTTTCCATTCTGGTTCCAGTCTAGAAGCAACTTTCTGATTGTCATCATAAAAAAACACTTGCCATGTTTTCACTGATATCTCCTCAGTAGAAGAAGAAGTGTTGATAGATAATGCCCTTCACTCAATGTGTCATTCGTTTGTGATTGTTCAATCTACTTATACAGTTTCCTGCATCATCTTTTCCTGGGTCAATAATAAAATGGCTCCTTGATATAGTTATATTGATTTGTTTTCTTTGGTTGGTGGTAAATTCATTTGCCTCAAGTAGTTTGAGCTAAGGTCAGCTTGACCTTTTTAAGAGCCTACTTTTCTTGTGCCTGCATAAAATATACGGCCTTTGTAGTTTGAGAAAACACATCAATTAGACCTTTGGCCAGAGAGACTGAAGAACCATGTCCTTGAGATTATCAATTAAGTATACATTAAATAGAAACTGCCATCAATGCACTGCCCCTTCTGGACATCGAAGACCTTTGGAGGATGACTCCTAGTAAGCATTAGCCAAGTAACACATCAACACCTGTTTGTATGGGATTTGCGTCAGAGAAACAAACCACTCTGAGGCTCAATGCTGCTGTCTGAATGCAACTGCTTGTGTT